GAAAGATATGGGGGTCGAGGTAAGAGAATGCGGGGTTGGGGGGTTGGGGGGTTGGGGGCAGGTGAAAGACAGTGGTAAGAGACACGCCTTTGGAATAGCGCCCAGGTAAGCGAGTACTCAGGAGGGAGAATCTTTCCAAGGAGATATTAAAAAATAAGGTGCCCGGCTGAGAGCCGAGAGGAGCTGGGAATAAAGAGATACAGCGAAAAAAGGAGATTCTCTCAAAATTAGTTTTTGTTGATTCGTGAGCCGGGGGGTGAGAGGGGAGACGCCGGGCTGGGGGATGCGCCAGAGGCGTATCAACGAGCCGGGTTCTCCAGGTCGCGGGGGTGCCTAATGGTCACGAATTATCAGGGTTTTTAAGATTGATAAGAGAACATTTTGGATACCATTGGAAAATGAACAAAACCAAAGGTCAATCCAAGTTAAAAATTTCGTTTAGCTTATTGAGACATCACTAATTAAGGCGCATGGTGGATCGAGTCAACAGGAGAGGTCGGGCGCGATTTGGAAACTTTTAATGTTTATTCCTCCGATTATACAAAACTTTGAGTTTCTCCAAGTGGTTTCATTGAAATTCTCGTGAAATTTTCTTCTGATAGCATCCCTTGAAATTTAAAATGCGGGGGTGATCCTTGCGAATAATTGCAATAATTTGCCGCGTCAAAAAAATCAAAAATGGAAAATACACCTTTTTTGTTGCAAATATTAAAATATTTTAGATCTTACTGAAAATTTGTTAAAATCCAAGAATTTTTTCTGTGCCAAAAATAATTATTTCCAACGGCAAAGCATCGTTATTCCGTACAATGATCTATTTTCTAAGTTGTACAATTGAGTTATACTCGAGGCTCTTCAAAACGGTCCTTTTTATAATAGAAATGCTACACCGAAAAAAATTAAATGTTAATTTAGTTTTTACACTGTTAAAAAAATGCGCCTGATACATCAAATGTTGATTTTACATTTGAAAACATAAGTCAACATTCAAATTGTCCATTCAACCTCTAACGTAGTTAACGTACCTTCTTTTTATTGTAAAACCAACTATTATACTTGTCGCATATTTTTTCCATACTGTAAATGCTGAAGCAACATTAATTTTTTTTTCCGTGTACCTTGCTTTTCGCCAATAAGACATTTTAGTGGGAAATAGAGTATTCAATGATTTCAATGTGCTGAAATAAGGCGAGCAACTATTTTAACTCCTAGGAGTGCGAGGTTGCAAATTGAGGTTGCGATTGAAGGAGATTTGAATGAGTCAGGTATTCTATATGGATGTGTATAAATTTCTCCAGCGCAGGGATGTTTTTGAGCAAATTTGTCAGCGATGCTTTCCCGCTGCAATCCGTTTTCAGTCTAGGCGTCCCTTTAGGTCATCCTATTATTCTTACTCTCTGCGCGACTAACGAAGTTAGCAGAAGAATGATTGTGCGTGTCGCTTCCAGTCTTGCTGGCGTGCGGGATCTCTGAATCAGATGGAATCTGTCTGTCTCGCTTCAATTATAACTGAAAAAGACTGATTCTTGTCGTGCCACCGTGAAAAATGGCTCAAAGGCGCCGCGACACACAGTGAAACGAGACAATTGGAGGAGTTGGACGAAATGTGGTAACTTTAAAAGCTTATAACTCCGTTGATACAGAGTTTTGATCATTCAAAAGAGGTTTCATTGATTTCCTCGTGAAATTTTCTACAAGGAGCACCCCTTAAAATTTAAAATGTAATGAAAGAAACATAATTTTTTACAAATTTTGCTAATATTTTCATGTCCTCGTTCCACTGTGCGGCGTGCTGCCGGCGCGAAAAGCGCACTGGAGCCTACAAACCTAAGGGGATACTTCACGCATTGCGCAATGCTTGAAGTATCCCCTTAGGTTTGTAGGCGCCAATGCGCTGGCCAGTCGCTTGCCGCGCCACCGGAAAACTCCGTGTGGTATCCGCGTTTCTCTCTGGAATCTAGCGACTCTTTCTCGAAAATTTCTCATTGTTAGAGAGGAAAGTGGGCTTATAATACACAGAGAAATTTAATTTAACCAGAGATATTAAGCCTGTAAGATCATAAATATCTACCTCAACTTATGGTCATCGTTCAATATCTGCGGTAACTTCACAAAAAAAAGGCTCAATTAAAACATGCGTACATCCATTGCAACGTTTACAATATATCGTTAACTGCCGGCAAAAGTATCACAAGCGCCATGCGACGTTTCTTTTATATTTTTACAGGGAAATTGTTCAACGAAGCTGTCCGAAAATTTTACTGAATTCTCATTGTGCTGCCGATAAAATTCAGTCAAATTTTCAAACAGATTCAATCAACAATTTCTCTGTGAAAAAATAAAATAGCTGCGAAAAATTTTAAACGTCGCGTGGTGCTTGAGATACTTTGGCCGGAAGGTGACGATTTATCGACGGTGAAACTGCAAAAATTGGTACCTAGGTTGCAGTGTTTCAAAATCTCCCCTCAAGCTTCATTTCTAAAATGAGACCCAACCAACATTTATTGTATATGTAGGAATATTTCTAGACCAAACGTGAGAAATTGCAGCATCCATATTGCGGAAAAAATTATCACTACCACGTTAGTTTATGAAACCAACCATGTTTGACTAATGTTGACATGGTGCTGAACTTTGTTGAGCGTAGAGTAGTACAGAGTTGGACTTTGCTTACTGAAGAAAGTCATGAAAACGTTATTTTATTTTCGCAATTAGGTGAATTTGCTTTGTGATAAAAAAACCTTTTTGCAGCACGCAAAATTAAAGTCCAATTACTATGCTCGAACCATCGCGTTACGCGCAGTGTGAAACATTTATCAAAGTATCCTCCCAGTATTTAATAAAACAGGCAGTTTTTGGGTTCGGAACTGTTTAACAGGAACACATAAAGACCTTTCCTGATCATATTTTTTTCGTTTGGTGTTAATGGTGGAAGATTCTTTTTTTTCAATATTTCCCTCTCTGCAAACAAGAATTATTGAGATTATGCAATAATTTTCTAACCACTAAATCTAAATCCTAAAGAAAAATAAATGCACATGTTTTCGTCATCCTACGTATCCTTCAATTTTTGAAACTGCTTCACCATCTCACAGCCAAAGATGAATTAACTTTTGGGTCAGATTATTTTAGGGTGAAAAATTGAATGAGACCAAAGTGGTGTATTGTTTATAGTGTTACTGTTCAAAAGACCCACCACGTCTACATCAATCTTTTGATGACAGCAAGTTCTTTTGTTTTTACCTCATGAGTCATGTCATTGAGCCCCCTCCCTCTACATTCATGTACATCGTCGCAGATTATCGACAACAACTGAGTGGTATGTGGTCCGAGCGTTATGATAATAGCGCCTTTATTACCTGCGCTGGGAGCAACCTATAGAATGTTCATTTTCGTCGGGTGCCAAAATACCGACGGGTAAATGCTATGGTAGCATACTTTTTTTCACAATCAAAAGAAAAATTACGTCAATCGCATGCACTGTTTTTATTTATTCAATTATTATTACTGTTATTCTGGTCATGCCTATGAATTTAATTATCAGCATTTGGTTCCGGTTGTGGCAAGTTATTGATGTCCTGGAATTGGCATTTGAAATGAATAGTATGAATGTGAAAATGTAAGTAATACATTTCTTAATGAAAATGCCTTTAATGACTACCTATTTGGATTTTCTCAATGCCAAACCCTACAGTGGTTGGATTTTGCTAGAGTTTAGTACCGCCCAGTAAAACCTAGATTATCGCTAGTGACACGAAGCATGCCGTATTTGACTGATAAAATATAAGGTTCAAATTATTATAACTCAATTACATTGTAGAAAACTCTACTTTCAAAGAAATTTCTTTTGACTTTGGGATCATTGAATTGATGGCTCCCTCAGTTATATATGGCACAGTATTGTAAAATTTTCTCACATGTTCATTATGGGTTACACACTTTTAGTATAACTTGAAAATTCTGTAAAAAGTGAACATACATGCGCACACTAAGAAATAATCTAGCTTCTATTCTCATGTACCTACAAAAGAAATGAGCTTATTGGATGGTGAAAAACGTAACTTACAGCAATCGAAAAAATACATAAATGGAGCGCTTTCAGCAGAAAGGAACCAAGTCGAATCAGATATTGCCAAATTTAACCGGGCAATTTAATGTTTTACAAGAGAACGTTTGTGCGGATTCCTTTGAAAATTATGAGGAATTTTCTTCGTGCCATCCAGGAAATTCGCACAAAAATCTGCATAATCGTCTTCATGTAAAAAATTAAATTTCGGAGTTAAATTTTGCAACAGCTGATGTGGCTTGGTTCCTTTCTGCTTAACGCGGTCCAAATATGAGATTGTCTTTTTCACTCTCTATGGAGAGAATCATACGGCACATTTTGCAAGCTATGTGACTTTCATTGCAAAAAAGGTTGAGGAAAATTGGAAATGTGCGCCGGGGTTTGAACGCCCAAAACAGAAGCTTTTCATTCGTCAAAATCTAGAAGACCTTTGAATTTCCTCGAACGGAGGACGTGAAATGAAAGTAAGAGATAGAAGATAGAAGGGCAGGAGGCGAGAGAGAGACAGAGAAGTCTCGAGGCAACCTTTTCATCGTCCTTCTCTGCCGTGCTAAGGAAGAACGCCGTATGAACATTCGAGAGTTGCCAAATTCCCTTTGTTAAAGCATGTACTTTTTGACAACATTTATGCATAGTTTTCCTCGAAATTTTCAGAAACTTTAGATTAAATTGCGTGCAAAACTGTCTGATAATTTCGGAAAACAATATTCGCAATTTTCCCGGTAATTTCGGTTTTTATTGGAGGGAACTTGGCAACGTCTGAGGGCGCATACGGCGTTCTTCCTTAACACGGTAGCGTCCTTCTCCACTCATGTCTCCCGAGTACTTTCGTCTCGACGGCATCTCAGCAGTTCTTGAGAGCCATTGATTTTATTCCTGTCTCCAGGACTCATTTTCGATGACATCCGCTAACGAGTTTATTGCTTGTCTTCAGGTTGATCTCCGACATATGGACGAGAAAGTTGGTTCCAATATCGTCGAGGTGGGAGTCGACCTCTCGGAATTCTACATGTCCGTCGAATGGGACATTCTAGAAGTTCCTGCCGTCAGGTAAGAGTTCCACCTACATTGAAAGTTATCGTGGGTGGGTGTGCAAGATAAGTTTCATCGGCTCAGAGGAAATCTATAGATCTTACATTCTGAGTAACATGATATTTTCTAAAAAATAATTGTGTATAGGACTCACTTCATTTTGTGAAAATAGCTCAAATTTCATTTCATGTAAATTTGTCTTAAAAAATACCGAAATTGAGTTTCTCAAAACAAGGATCTCAATATTGTTTTTTGAGAATTCAGCTCTTAAGAGGCGGGAGATTTTCTTTTACAGCAATGCCATAGCACACTGAAATAAAAAGATTGGTAGAATTTACCATTCCTTCACGCTGTATTTCACACAGCGTGAAAGAATAGTAAATTCTCCCAATCTTCAAGTCGATTCTGTCAGAGGAATGGTTACTTGTACCAGTATATAGTAACGTTTACCTCTCTTCTGGCAAAGTTGACTCTGAATTGGACCGTGTTTAACAGAGAGAAACCAAGCCATATCAGCTATAGCCAAAGTTAACTGGACAATTTAATTTTTTACGAGAGAATGCTTGTGCGGATTCTTTTGAAAATTGTAGGGAATTTGCTTCGTACTATGGAGAAAATCCACTGAAATTTGCACGAAAATCCGCGAAACCGCTTACTTGTAAAGAATTAAATCAACCAATCAAATTTGGCAATGGCTGATGTGGCTTGGTTCCTTTCTGTTTAACGCGGTCCAATTAACGCTGTGTAAAATACAGCGAGAAGGAATGGTAAATTCTACCAATATTTTTTTTCAGTGCACGAAAATAAATCTTATATCGATCCCATAGATCGAATCTGAAAATTGTCGCGCTTAACTTTACGACGCCCTGTATTGTCTCGGGGAACCTCGGTAGACCCGGCATGCCAACGGTAAGTGACAGTCGGCAAGGCAGGAGACACTGACGCAGAGCCTAAGGGTGTGGAGGGGGTGCAGCACTTAAACCCCAGGTTGTCGTCGGGGGCGGGGGTGAGTAAGGCGGGCGAACCCGACGATTACCATCAGAATTCTCACTGACCTCCAGCATCCGCGCCCTCCGCCCTCTCGAGCCCCGTTTCACCGTGAATCCGACCGAAAACGGCGGCCGACATGGAAATGTTTCTTGTTTTCGGTCTCGCCTGAGGACTCGGCAATCCGCCGCACGGTGGATCCAGACAATAGGAAAAGTTAGAGTACCTTTATAGACAGAGTATGACCATTCGTACCTTTTTACTACAGGAAGACTGTGCCGCTTTTTGATTGGTCAACGAGTTTTTAGGCTTCATGATGATCTTACGGCCGTAAATAAACAAACAAGATGGCGGCTCACCGTAACATCGATAAGAAGCTGAATTTGACAAAAAATTTAATTATACGACAGTAAAAATTTAAAGAAGCATATCTACGAATAACACACAAAAAACACGTGAAAACATTGTTAAATCGCCTTTCACCTTATCACAGGAGGATGTAAGATGTGTATGACCTCAATCTTGCTTGCTGATAACAGTCATCTTGTTTGTTTATTTACGGCCGTAAGAACATCGTGTCAGCCTACTTTCACGTGACCAATGAAAAACCGGAACAGAAATGGCCATACTCTGTCTACAAAGGTACTCTAGGAAAAATCGATTATGAAATTTTTGACTAAAACTGTAAATTTTTTTATTTATTTGGTCACATTTTAAACTTCAAGGTGTGTTTCTTGAGGCAGATTTCACGAGAAAGCTAGTAGAGCCCCTTTTAGAAGTTCAAAAATTTGTTCAAACGGGTTTAAAAGCGTTTAAAGTTTCCAAATTTTGTCCGACCTCTGATATTGACTCGATCCACCGTGCGCTGGACTTTCCACTGCGCTCCGATCGATCGTGTCGAGTGCTTCCGTGTTAGGGAAGAACGCCTTACCTGCCGTGATAACGAAGAGAGCAGAAAGTGCCAAATTTTCGAAATCGAGTCTTCTTCAAAATTCGTCTAATCTCTTTTAGATGGAATCACTGAAATAGCTGAAACAGCAAAATTATAAAAATTAAGAAAATGATCTAGAAACAAACTTTCCCACGCCTGAATTGAACGACGGATTATCCGGAGTATTACGTATGAGTGCTCCCATTTCCCGGAACTAGTACCAAATTCCGAAACTTTCGAGATTCTCCTGGATTTTTCCTGGTACTTTTGAAATTTTCCCAAAATGTTCCGGTTCTTTGGCATTTTCCGGATTTTTCTCGGAACTTTTGAATTAATCTGAAAAAAATCCCGGAACTGTTGACGGACATGGAATGGGAGCATTATTTTGCCGTGAGAGCGAAGAGAGCAATAAGGGCCAAATTTTTGAAATCAAGTTTCCTTCTAAATTCGTCTAATCTCTTTTAGATGATACCACTAAAATAGCTAAAACAGCAAAATTTTAAAATTTAAGAAAATGATGTTGAAATAAAATTACCCTGGAGCAACACAGCTAGCTGCCGATATAGGAGAGACGTAATTGGACGTGTTTCTGGCAAACGGAACTATGAGCATTAAGAAATGAACCCTGAGACCCATAAGCATATATGCATATAAGGGCTCACGTCATGACGCACATAGTTCCGTTCGGCAGAAATACGTCCAATTAAGCCTCGTTTTTAAACTTTTTTCCGCATCTGAGTGACACCTCATTAGCAGCCTAGAGCGGAGCATTGCTAGTTCACGCGCCTCACGCCATAGCGCCTTCAATTTTGCAGATGCAACACGGACATCCATCAAGTACGAATAGTTGTATCTCTGCGCCGTCATCAACGAGCGTACTTTTCCTTGACGTAATGCCGTGTTGTGTTGGCTCCGTTTGTCTTATCTGCCGTGACAGCGAAGAGAGTAAGAGTAGAAAAGTTCAACTCATATGAATTCAATTTTTTTCATTTTTTAGAAGTGCTGTATCTGACCAAGAGACACTGACGTAGTATGTAAATTTGAAAAATAAATACATTTTGTTCTTGTGATTTTTTTGAAGCGTTGACTAGTTTCTGAGATATCGGACTCGGTAGATTTAACGCTGAACTCATATAAGTTGAAATCCCTAGTCATATGAGTCGGCGAAAACTGAATAGAGAAATTCTGCGCAAATGAGTTAAATTCTATTCATAAAAGTTGAAATTCTATTCGTATGAGTTGAAATTCTATTCATTTGACTTTGATTTTCTACTCATTTGTACTCGCCATTTTTAGCAGGGTTATATATGGTACTCTATTTCAAAACCGATCCAACTTGGTGCGCTCTGCTATACTCTCAGTCCACATACTCAAAGGAAATTTGGCAAGGCTTAAAGGCTTATACGGCCAGGTGGTTACGGTACGGTGGTTAGCACGCCAGAACGGCGAGTCGACCTGCATCCCCCGCATACCGGACCCGTAAAATACGGAAGCAAATCAGAAATGGATTCACATTGTCTTGACTCTCAGTATAAAGGGACTCTAGGTGCACTCTGCTATTCTCTGTCCATACATAATCAAAGGAAATTTGGCAAGGCTTAAAGGCTATACGGCGTTCTTGGTTAGCCCGCCAGAACGGCGAATCGACCTGCATCCCCCGCGAGGCTGGTGAGCGGAAGGAGCGTTTGCACACGTCATCATAACTCCTCGATCATGTTCGCGGAGGAGCATATTCGCAAATTACCCCCGATGCCAGCGAGCCCGCAGCTCTCGTGCGAGCCTTACCTTTCTGGCCCGCCGGGAACCAGTGGCGTGGCGTGAATTGCGATATATCGATTGTTATGCCATTTAAACCGATGGTGAAGAATCGATTATTAAGGTGTTCGCTGCGAACACCCTGTTTATCGATCCTTTTCCATAGGTTTGAATGGCATAACAATCGATATATCGCAGTTGACGCCACGCCACTGCCGGGAACCTCCGCGAGGCTCCTGGCGGTTCGGATTTACGATGCAAACTAAGTCGCTAACTTCCCGGGAGGAAATGAATATCACCTACGCGGTGTCTCACTATCAAAATCTTGTCAACGTACGACCCCCCGCGAGCCCCGAGGAACACGCCCGGCTGAACCTGTGAATTATGATGTCTGCGGTCGCGAGCATAGGTGGCGCGTGGCGTTGGGCTGGAAGTATGGGAAGGGGCTGAAATTTAAGAAAAAATAGCGGGAAATCGATTAATTTCAATTGGCCCATAATTTATTCGTATTTTCCGCGTTTCAATTATAATATTTCAATCCTTTCCATAATTTATCTTCCTTTACCTTTATGATATTTTTCTATGTCTTAATTGTCCGTATGTGACGTTGGGCTGGAAGAATGGAGAGGGGCTGAAATTTAAGAAAAAAATTGGGGAAGATCGATTAATTTCAATCAGCCCATAATTTATTCGTGTTCTCCTCTTTAATCATAATTTTTGGATCCTTTCCATGATTTTTCTCCTTTACCATTATAACTTTTTTCTTCTTCATCTACCTTTTTCTTATCCGTGTCGTTCTGATTTTTTTCTTCTCTCCTCTTCCCCCATTTACTTTAACGACCGATTTCATGTTTTCTTAGTTATTTTTTCTTAGTTATTTTATCTTGCTCCTCTTTAGTTTTATCACTCTTTTATTTTCTCCTTTTCCCTGTGGTTCCTTTCCTTCTCATTTTCTTCTCCTCTCCGTACTTATAAATATTTTATTTTTACCCAATTGTCTCCTGGATGCATTACTCCCCTCATATCTTCATTTTTCGGTGCACCCGTTTTATGTTAACGTAAAATTAACCCCTATTGTGCTGACTGTGCAGTAAACACACTCAGTCCCATCATTTTTGAACGGGTGCCAAGTGTGATGCATTTGCCAGGATAAATGAGAAAATTAATTTTTTCGAACTTAACTCCCGATCTCTCTCTCTTCATTACTCTGCAAAATTGATTCAAACTCGTTTATTACCCTATTCTGAGATTTTTATTGAGCCCTCTTGAGTAGTCTGGGCAGTATGAACGATTTTTATGTTTCCCCTGTGAAAGCACTGATTATACAGCCATGCTAAGATAAAAC